AACATCCTGTGGTTTGAGCAGGAAACTAACTTGAGTCTGTGGAAAGATGGCTGTTGCTTCCTATTCCGTCAGCAGGCATCCCTTCCTTTTGCATCCATTTCTGCTTCCAGGGAAAGCACCTCTGGTTATACTGTGCCTCACTTAATGGTTCCCACACCTTCACTGCAACCAGGGCTACACCAAGATACAGTATTCAGTTGCCTGATGTGAAGGACAAGACGGTGCTGCTTGTCTGTTCCACACAGAGAAGCCAACTAGATTGGCTTCATCCAACTTTAGCAACGGGGCCCATCCTTCACTGTGCCAGAGGCAGCAGTCTGGTTCAGGGTCGCCAGGCCAGGTGGCATCTCTCTCTCAACCAACAAAGAGCCAGGGGCTCCTGAAGCACAGCCACAAATGGCTGCTGCCCCCCCCCCAGCATCTGCTGCCTGAGGCAGCCACCTTAGCAACGATTGGGTCCACCTGAAAATATTACCCCCCATATACTGCTTTACACTTTTACCAGCAGTTCTGCATACACAGAGGGAAACAATCGAGAGCAGGTGGCCAGAGCTATACCAGGTGAAGTACTGCCTGCTGTAAGGAGCCCAGCTGAGGCGGCGGCAGGAGCAGGCTCCCCTTCAATAGATGGAGGCATCATTGGTTGGAGCACATGCCTGGCTCATGGCAGTTTAGGAAGGGTGGGTGATTTCTCTGCTTTTGGGAGTTGCTGGTTGTAGGTTCAGGCTTCAGAACGGTCCTTTCATGAACGTTGCAAAATAACTACCCTTCCCTTGAGGTGGGGATTTTGGAGGCAGCCTGTGAGTTCCTGGTAGAGAAGGAAGCACATTTCGTTCCTATGTGAGAATAGGGCATTGGTGCCACTGCTTCCAATGGTTAAGCTCAGAGTGGCTTTTAGAACAGCAGACTCCGAGTTCTAAAGTTGCCATAGAGGTAGTGCTGTCCTGAACTAGCTGATGCATAACTGACCCTTGCGTCAGATTGTAGGCAGCCAATTATGGAGGCCAGAGATGGCCTAGATGAGCAGAGTGTAGAGCAGGTGATAAGTAGGCATACAGGCAGAAATCCCCCAAATTGAGAATAGATTTGGGCTAATTTGCCAATCTGGTTTCATGGCACCAAGGCAGTGATGGTAGTGGGTTTTTCTGAAAAAGCTGGAAGGAATCTGTTAACTAAAGTGAGTTGAGCTCATGGGTTTGCATAAGAAGTCATAGGTGAAAGGGTAAGAAGAAAAAGAATAGAAGTACAGAGACTTCAGCTTAATGGACTGCAAAGAAAGGGGCCAACTGTACCCAGAGGTGTTAACAAGAGTAGTTGTTGAATGGTTAAGTTAGTGGGATCTCTCATTATTGGAAACTTCTACTCTCTTTCTGGCTATAAAAAGGGTGTGGTAGTTGCAATTTCCTGAAGATCAACAAATGAACAGAGCTGTCGGGGATATCCCCTTCTTCTTTATCCTAATTGCCAATTCTCTGAAAAGATAGAGTAGGAGTCACTTAATCTGCATAAGGCCTAGATAAAATCCATGCTGAACTCATTGCAGCTCAAAATGCCACATATGTTGGAATTAATATATTTGGACTCGAACAATCCATACTGACCCAAGGGAAAACCCCAAGAAGTAAACCTCTACTCTCTATTAAATGGGGCACTTCCTTCAGTGCTGAGTTGGAGACAGCTGTTATTATCAGTGCTGTACAGATCAGGAGAAGTCACATTCACCGACTGAATTTGAAACCCTGTTAACAATAGAAAATGACACAGGAAAAATATTTTGGAATCAATGTGGAAAGTGCAATGGTACCAGCTTTCCTGTGACAGCTGATGGGCAGTTGATCCCCCCCTCCCTTAAAACAGCACATTCACTATTTAGGAAAGGGATTAAAGATAAAACAACAAATTGCAAAACGCCATTATATAAACCTATTGTTTCTAGTTTGAGAACATGGTATGCAATTCCAGATGGCCAAATCTCATCCCCAACACAGTATAAAAGGGGTCAAAAAGGGTGGGTAAAATTACCAGAGGCTTGGAGCATTATCCCTACAAAGAAAAAGATAACAAGGAAAGGGTTGGGGCAGAAAATTTATAAAATCGCGGTGTGTAGAATGAAGAGTAGAAGGCAGCATCTCAAAACAATTACAACCCAGGAAGATGTATTTTTTGCAGGTTTCTCCCTCCCAGTAACACTAGGTTGACTCTCTCTCCTATCTTAGTGTTAACCAAGACGTGACTAGACAGCTATGGTATCTGAAGGGCCCCCATGCAGTCTGGGAGCTAGCTCAGTCTTCTCACTCTCACAGGCAGTAGATAGAGATGTGTGCAGTCTCTTTCTCTTCTGTATCTGCCAGTAGGCAAGCATGCCCCTGGCCTAACCCCTCTCCTGTGGCCATGTCTTCTTGGCCTTGCCCTTCAGCCTAAGTTTTTACACACAGACAGAATGTGTGAGCATGTTCAGACTTAGATGCTAATATTTGCATTGAGGTAAACGGTAAGAAAAGAACTGGAGAAGGGGAAAAGCTATAATCAGCAAAAACAAACAACCCCCCACGCCTTCAATTTATGTGGATGCAGCCACTACCTCAACACTGGGAGCATCTGGGTTGATACAAAAGTCTGGACTTTACAGTTAACTCTACAAAAGCCAGCTCACTTTCCTCATTCCTCTCACGCCAAAACAGGCTGTGCTGTGATACTGATTATCACCTGTTCAATTGGTCAGTTTCCCCCTTCCAGTTGATGCCAAGATCTAAATGGCAGTGTGGATGACCCACAGCTAACACTGAGCTGGAAAGTGCAAAGCTTTAAGGTTGGGCTCCTACCGATGCTCAGTCTTTATACTGTATCTTCATTCCTGACAGCATGGAGAAAGAGGGCAGATATGTCTTTGGTTTGTTTTGTTTTTTAGCACGAGGTTTCCAAATGGAGGTACCTCTTGGTAAGAAAGCCAAGGAGGTTCCTGAACTCAGGTCCTTCCTTGGGCCAATGCAGCAAATGCAAGCGGGGGGGTGGGGTGAATAAGGCCATTTGGTATTGGGGAACGATTGATCAGAACCACAGTTTGTGAAAGAACAGGCAAAATGGGGTGTGACTGTTTTTACATGGCTAAGGGATCCATCTAAGAACAAGTTAGATCTGGACCAAGATCAGAGGAGCGGCAAAAAGGCAACTGGACATACAGATGTTTTTCAGAAGTTACCCAAGTTACCTCTCCAACGTCTATGCAATGAGATCCCAATAAGAAATATAACTTAAGCCCCGTGAAATAAGTCTACTCTGTTTTGAAAGTAGGACCCAGAGGGGAAAAAAACCCAAAATATTTCTACAGCATTTAGAACTGCTAACACTGTGGTTCCTTAATACAGAAATGTGATTACATTTGTGGCTTAGATGGAGGAAGGACCTCAAGGTGGAAAAAATCAGTGTAGTTCTACAATATGCTGCCTGTCTCCCTAGTTTCTAAAAGATGCCAGCTCAAGTTCTGTGCTCCAAAGCTTTTAGAGTTAGACTATCTTATCCTAGAGGAACACAGCAAGTGCACTTCTAAGCTCTTTTGTTGTTGCCCGCTGCAGCCAACCTCTATCTGAGCTCTTGGCAGAAAAGGATATGGACAACACAAAAAGTCCTTCTTTACCCCCCCCCCCCCCAAAATGATTTGGGTGCTCCAAGCATGCAGCAGCTAAGAGAAGAAAGACACTATCTGAACAGGCCTAGCTCATCAATGACAATGCAGGGGGTGACCGAATGGTTACAAACAAATAAATGTCTCTGAGGTCAGAATTTGGCTGCTCCCCAGATGGAGGAGGAGGCTACTGCTATATAGGGCAATTCACTATTGAATCCTTGGGCCTTAGCAGTGGCTATAGAGTGATACACAGAGGCAACCAGAATTTGCTGGCAGCTCTTCTTTCCCAACATAGCTCTGTTGGGAAAAATTCTGCCTATGACAAGAGAGCTGCTTCTCTGAAAATGCCAAATCCTGATTTTGACAATTTACTAGCTGGAAGGAGACAAGGAAATGAAAGCGAAACAAAAACAAGAAAACAAAGAATCGAGGCTTCAAGTAGTGAATCATACACCACTTCACCTTTTTGATATATTGAAACTAGGAAACTTCTATCTTGGAGGTTTAAAATAAATACTAATGTCTTGTTGCTTTTTAAAGAAAATCAAATGAAACAACACTCTGTCCCCTGTTCCTAAAAGTCATAAAAGCAAAGAATTCTCCTGGAACCTACAACATTACAGAATTACAGCATCTTTGGGTCTTGCAGTAAAAAAAAGTTTTTGTTTTTTTTGTGTGATATTTTTACCACCCACAATTCCAAAGTGGCAGTTAATGAGAAAATAACCAACCATGTAGAGATGTATGGAAAAGGTATCTCATCCGGAAGGGGAAATGCTTCAAGGTCACAGAAATGTCGCAGTATATGTTATATATTACATAAAAATTGTGCCAAAATGTGTTTTTTTTTCTTTTTCTTTTTGATTGTAAAAATCTGCTCTTGGTGGGGTTCCCCCTGTTCTCTTCATCAAAGCAGGGATTTTCATTCCCTCTCATGCTCCCATAATCACCCGTGGGGCCAGAGCAGAGCTGAGCGTCATATATCTATATGTATTTATATAGATATAGATATATTTAAAACCCAGACATAAAAGTTCGTTGTTGTTGTTTTCCTTTTTTTTTAAAGTGAGTAAATCAATTCTCTTTTGTTGTTATTTTTAGGATTTCATATTTACAGCATTTCAATTGGTATCACATCCCCCCTTCCCAACCCATTTTGACCCCGCCCACCGCCCGCCCCAGAGATAGGATGCCTCTAGGTGAGACTGGTTGCTCCCCCAACTCTCTTCAGGATGAGAGCCGGTGAGAAAAGTCGGAGTTGTGCTTGAAGAGGGAGACTTTGCTATTTCTTTTTCCTTTGGGGAAAAAAGTGCAGTCTGGGTTAGTGTTTTTGTTGTTGTTGCTGCTGCTGCTGCTGTTTTTGTCATTTTTTTTTCTGAAGGACATACTATCCAGCTTGGAAAAATAAAAGTTCAACAGGCCTCTTCCCCCGCCCCGCCCCCATGTGGTCCCAAATGTGTTCGGATGGCAGCCATATTTGCATTTCAGGTACTCTTGACTTTCACTTCTTTGTAGGGAGGAATGAAACGGAAGAGCAGAGTTTTCTTCTTGCATCCCTGCTAAATGCTGGAGCAGCAACTCACTTGGCCTACGTAGGGGACTGACAGAACTGAGATCAAGGGATGGCACAGGAAGAACTGCCTCCCCCCACGCCCATCCCTCCTCCACTGCTATTTTGTGACATTTTATTTCACACCAGGTGGCCAGACCAAAGCAGCTAAGAGGGAAATTGCCACTAAATGCAGCCACAAAATTTATAAAAAAATAAAGTCCAAAGATAGCCATCTCAGTGCCACTTCCTTTTTCTTCTCCCAAAACAATGGTGCAAGTCAAACATTCCTACATGGGCTTTTAAAAATAAGAGAGAAACAAGGAAACCTTCCTGCTGCCCTGCCAATCTGAAAAAAAAAAAGAACCTAAGATGCAAATCTTGCTGATATATGTGACAGTCAACAAATACTGAAAGGCAGCTTCTGGGCTTAGCTTCCTCGGAACAACTCCTTCCTCTTTCCCCCCAAAACACCTTCCTCTTTCTATGGTACTTTGTTGTTGTTTTGTTTGTTGGCAACAGTTGTACCTATGCCCCAGTAAGGCCAAGTGCCATTAAGGCCCTGTTTGCTCTTCATCCTGACCTGAAAAGCAGGCCGACAAAGTCATGACGAGGGGAGGGTGGAGAGCAGGTGCTGAGCCAGGAGGCAAAGCGTTTCCCCAGGGTGCCCCGTTCTCTGCATATGTGGCACCCTCATGGCTTTGAGTTTTGTAGCAATAAAAAGAAACTTTTTTTTTTGAAGAAAAATCTTTTTTCAATCTATTTTCCTCCCTACAACCCGCCATTTTCTAGGTTGGAGGTAATGACAAAATAGGTCTCATCCTTTTAGCCTAGAAACTTCCCTCCTTCCTCCATTGTAATTGCCTGGAAAAGGAATCGACATAACCAAATAGGCCAAGTGTCGACTTCTCTCTGGAAAACTTCCATTGGGTAGAAGGAAAGCTGGAGAAAATGGCTGCCACCCCGTTGGAGAAGCCCTCTCTGCCTCAGCTCTTTCTTCCGCCACCTCCTCCCCTCGGTTCATTCCCCAGCCCTGCTCCATTCTCTTCTTCCCCACCCTTTCCTCCAGGAAAAAAAAATGAAAATGTTCAGGTCACGGCAAGGAGGCCGTATTGGGGTCAGGGGTATGGTCCCTCAAGTCCCTTTGCAGCCCCTCAGAGGCTGGTCACCAGCTGCATTTGGCCATCTCCCTCTACTGCTGGGTTTTCTAAGCTTCCTGGGACCAAATAGCCATCATTGCTGGGTCTTCGGACTTGGTAGTAGGCCTGGAGCTGGCTGCGTGGCACCAAGGCTGGCCGGTTGGTATAGTAGATTTCATTGATGGCTTGGGCGTGAGGAAGCACTTCCCCAACTGCCTCGGGGCTGCTGTCCGGGTATGGGGAGTCCCTCAGGTTGGTCATACTGGTGTACAAAGAGTCCCTGTTGGGCGAAGGGGCTTGGCCGTCACCCCCTTCTGTTAGGTCAGCTGTGCAGCTCTCCGACTCCTCCAGGTCACTCTGGTAGAGGATGGACTGTGCCCTCTGAAGCAAGAGCGGCTCCTCTAAGGCCTTATACATAAGTTCAATTTCCATGTTCTCCTCATGGGTCAAGGAAGGGGCATCAGGCACAATGGCGTCATCCTCATTGTTGGTGCCCCCTCCCCCTGCTACTACATTGGGAGGGGGAGGGGGCCCAGGAGGGTTGGAGCTCTCAGTGGAACCCCCGCCTCCCTTGACCACACCACTCCCTCCCCCCCTCAAGTTGTTATGCACCAACTCAGAGATGATCATTTTCTCAAAGGCCGCAGCGTCGCTCAGGTTCCGTCGGCAGTCAGCCATCTTGGTGCCGTCGGCTGGGAAGTCGCCACTGCGGAGGGAGTAGCTGTTATTGAAGTTGCCATTGAGCGGGAGGGTGTCCATGCCACAGGCGTCTCGGCTGTTGTTCAGGGGGTGCTCTGTAAGAAGGGCGGCACAGATACAGGTGTTAGATGGGGGGTGGAAGGAAGACGGCATGGCCAAACACAGAGGTCAGGGATCACTTGGGAACAGAGATACACATGGCCAGACGGTCTGTCTGAGTAAAACTGACTGGTTTCTATATGCAAGGAAAACATGTGCCTGAGCAGTGTTTATGGCATGAGGTGCAGGTGCTCATAAACTCAGACATGTATGTTTGTGCTTCAGCAACAGAAGATAACTGACAATAATGGGGTGTGTGAACACCATACGGGATTGTCTTTCACAGAGAGACCTGGATTATGTGGCTAGTAAAGAAGGGCAGCAGGAAAAAGAATGGCTGAAAAAGCGCCCCCCCCAAGGGACTGTGTCACTGATGCGGGAAGTGTAAATTGTTAAAATGAATTGTGGTTATCAATGCATTTCACCAAATAGGGCGCCTGCACCTTTTGAACAAAGTGCTCCCTAAAGGGCGATTTACACATTAAATTATCCAACGCCTGAAATCCTGCTGCTTATCCTTCTAATTTGCATCTAAAGTAGGCCTACTGAATCAATGCAACTTAAGACCAAATCCCTACTGGTTCTGTGGGAACTGGCTGACCCTCTTTCACTGCCTTGTTCTTTACCAAGGAACAGAAGAAGGGATTCGTAGTGTCAGAGTAAGAATTTGGGGATAAAGTCCAAGGTGCCACTCTGCAGAACGAACAGGTGAATTCCAGAAACACTCTGGGGCTACGTTAGCACTTTCAAAAGTCAGCAAATTACTACATAGCAGTCCAAAGAGCTCCACCTCAGATAAAACCTTGAAGTTCAGGTCTAAAATTGTGTTGCTACATCAACTGGAAGAAAATGCTACTGCAGGGGACAATGCCCCATTATCTTCTTTGTTAGCAGGAACTGAGCTTTTAGGCAAACATCTAAGTTTTCCTTCGTGACAGAGTAGCTGTTTTCATCTATTAAGGAACAGCAGCTGCTCGCAGAATAACCAAGGCTTAGATGTTTTCCCAAAACCTCAAAGTTGTGGCTGCCTGTGTGCGGCAGCTTCTTATCTTCCTTCTCTTCCACAGGCCAGGATTTATTAGACTCTTGCTGAGCTTTTAAAACAAGCATTGGAGGATGCTGATACATACGAATGAGGTCTTAGGGGTCCTAGCACAGAAAGCCAAGACACTTGTCTTATATCAGCATAGGTTCAATGGTGTGTGACAGTGTGCATGTGTGAGAACTGGTGCATTTATGGGTAAATATGAAAAAGAGGTTCATGGGTTAACTACTTTGTTAGTAAACAGGGTGTGTATTTGTGCGCATGTGTACATATGAGCGAAATGCAATAAAGGCATGATGTTGAGGAGAACAAAAGAGAATAGCCACATAGGCATGAACAGCCACACAAAGCCACATGCATTATGAAGCCAGGCATGTAAACTGTTTTGCTAATGGGAAAAGCCCACAGAGTGCTCTGTGGCAAAAAGCTACGATTTACAGTTAGGGTAACATATGAGACTGGAGGAACTATAGGTCAGATATAAGGGCAGAGGGTGTGTGGTCTGCTGCACAACCCGGTGCTTCAACCCACTGCATGCAGGGAAGGGAAGGGTGGGTATTCTTCAGCTCTGTGGTTGCTTTTAGTGCCATCTAGTGCCCATAGCCAGAACAGCATGGTCCATGCCACCTCACTTCACCATCCACTGAGAAACAGGAACTAAAATAACCAAGGTCCCATCCACACACCCCACACCCCACTCCACCCCAGCACTCCTGTTCTCTCTACAGGACTCCCTGCTGCTGACAGATGCAGCCTCAATACACCCACTCCTTGCTCACATCTGTGTTGCGCCCACCCCCAGTTTGCCAGTCAAACTAGCAATGAAAGAAACATTACTGCGAAATGGAACTGGAAAGGAGGGACGTACTGGACTCTCGGAAGCTCCCTGCAGGCAGCGCCAGTTAGGAAAGGGAAAAGAGAAAAGAAAACGGCCAGGGTTAACAACGCAGTATGAAACATGACCCTGATCCTCCCTACAGCCAGAGCCTACGGGCAAGAGCACATGCTTTGCATGCAGAAGGCAGGCCCCAGGTCCAATCCCTGCCTCTCCAGGGAGTGCTGGGAAAGAGGGCCACTTGGAACCTTGGAGAGCAGCTGCCAATCCATGTAGACAACACTTAACTTAAAAAAAGCAGGCAATTATCCTAAGAAGTGGAGCTTGGCAAAAGTTACTCTTTCTGACAACAACTCCCAGAATCCCCTAACAAGCAAAGGCTGCTGGTTGGAGGATTCTGGGAAATGTAGCCTCAAAAATTGGCAGCTTCCAATCCCCTGAATGTGTAGCTGAAAAGCTCCTGGTCCCACCTTCCAAAATCTTTGAGAAATTACTCTTAAAATGGCTTTTCCTAGGTTCCAAATCAAAAGCAGAAATCACAGGCATTTCTTTAGCATGCCCCTTTTAATCTCAGCCAGGAAAATGTGGGCGTATGTGTGTGTTTGTGTGTGTGTGTGCATTTGTGTACATTTGTGTTTCTGTGGAACCCATATCTATATGGACATCAGAGGGATGGGTAAGGTCTGTCCTCAAGTGTGGCGATAGTCGTACCTGGGGAGTTGAAGACAGGGGGCGAGGCAGGGTTGAAGCCCACAGACTCAGCAATAAGTGTGTTGTAGGGACTGGTCCCGCCCCGTGTCTGCAGCACGGGGTTAGTCAGCAGGTGGTTCCCCATGGTACCTGCAAGAATTGGTATGGGCAGAAATATCAGCATTGTATAGGTTGAAGAGAATTTGTTCCCCCCACATGCAAGGAGGGGAAAAGGTTCTGTTTGGGAGGCGGTGGCGGCAAAACCTTCTTGGGAAAATGTCATTGCTGTGTGTCAAACAGACAGCTGAGAAGGAGAAAGGTGACCCATTCAGGAGAATCAGATACAGCATGGAAAGTACTGAATAGGAATGTCTTCCACTGGTTAGGGATTGTCTGGGAGGGTTTTGTGACTGCTAGGCTGAAGCAGGGACTCTTGTCTTCTTGTAAGGCTCAGTGGAACTAATATCTCATCTTAGCATGTAGGTGCGTGGTCTCACCCTGGCTTCTGACTTGCTGCTGGCAAGGATGAAACAACAATGGCAGCTCACCTCGGTTAAGGGTGGGGGTGCTGTTGAGGTCACCTGCCATGAAGCTGGACTCAGTTTGTTTCCTTACAGTATCGTTCCACATTCTTCGGATCCGGCTCTGAAATGACAAGCCCACTCTGGAATCAGCTGGACGACTAGACACCGAGGATGAAGGATGCTTCCCGGTCTCTCCCATTCAATTCTCTCCAAACCCCTCAGGCCACTGTCACAATTACCACCACCACTGCCACTCTGCTCAGCTCTACCTGCGTTCCAGTGTAGTAACGATTGTTGCTACGGATGGCTGAAGTCTTGAGGGAGCCCAGAGTGGCCCCTGGTGGACTCCGCAGGCAGCAGGATGCATGTCGCAGGCATTTGCTGAATTCACGGTGAACCTGGTACAGATATAAGGAGGAGTGTCAGGGGGAAGAAAAAAAAGAAGAAACACAGCATCCAGCTACACTTCATGCTTGTTCTGCTCTCTTTGCTCAACTACAGTCACACTTTTCATTCTCATGCAAATTTGGTCATGCCCTTCAGTTCTGAGTTAGGGCTACCCACCTTTTTCTGCAAAGCACAATGAAACACGAAGATGAACATGCCCTGGAAAGCATTGAAGGTGGTGAAGAGGTAGGCCATAACAATAGACTCCTTGTTGATGAAGAGGAGGCCAAATGCCCAGGTGAGCCCCAGGAGAAAAAGGAGGGTGATGGCTCCAAGTGCCCATGACCTGCAGAGGGAGACATAGCCAGTTCTGAGGAAATGTGTGTGATGAAACATCCTCACCAACCTGAAACAAGCTATTGTTCCATTGTTAAAAAATCTGTATAACCTATGGCACAGAGGAGGTACTTTGCAGAGCAAACTCACTGGCTTTCCAATGCATTCCCCCCATCTCATGCTGAGATGGGAGTCATCAGCTGGAGGAACCATGGCTTCTACTACCAATTCTGGTATGGAATACACCACAGAAGCGTATATCCACGACAGAGCAGAAGGAGAGGTGTTAATGCAGCTTTCCAGTGCCTCCTTTCATGGCAGTTTTAAAATAGCTGGAACTGGTCTTCCTCATAGAGGGGATCATGGGAGTTGTACTTCAACCAATTTTGGACAACAACAGGTTGAAGAGTTATGTTATACTGTCCACCTCCTATTCAAGCCTGTTTTGCCATTTCATCTTGTCTTGCTTTTTCTTGTCCACATGTGTCCCCAAAGAGCAAAAATGTACAGACAGACTCCTCCTTTTACCTTGAGGGAACACCTGCCACCTCGCTCTATTTAACTTCCAACACAAAAACAAAGCAACTGCTTTGAAAGGAAGAAGAAAGAAACAATCTGTATAACTGCCCATAATCATTGATCTCTTTCCGTTGTTTAATGAATGGAAGAGTTATACACCCACTCTATCCTTTGAGGAAGGCTGCCGCTGAAGTATGAATCGGAAAGAAATGGCTGAGAAGATGTGAAGTGGGTGGAGAAAGAACACAAGGCCAAGACAGTAAGCGTATGGGCAGGGAAGGAAGGCTCTTCCACAATCTACGGATGACAAGCCTGTCTATGTAGGCATTACCAGCTGAAACACTGGCTGCAGGTCCTTCGTCATTCTTGTCCAATACCAGTCATGTTCACTTCTGTAAAACTTCCTGTGTTCTGCCTTTTGTTATTGGCTTCTGCTTTCTTTAATTTTGTAGAGATGCATTCAGGGTGGACCTATTCTGAAACTAATGAAGCTTTAGAGGCCTTAATCCCAGATGAGCCTCAGGAGTGACTTTAGTCCATTTTTTTAAATGTGGCAATCAGTCGTGGATCAACTCCATTGAAGAAGATAACAATGGTTACCCAAACCTTGTTGCTAGTTGAGAAGTGGCCTCCATAACAGTTCAAGTTTCAGGGCCCCAAAAATGTAGGTCCAGAACTGGATGCACTAAAAAAAATTAAGGAACATGCCACCATATTCCTTTTAACATACCGCAGTCTCAAATGCTAGTTGTTCGTTCTCTGTCCAAATATTCTGCAAAGTTACAACTGGACATATCTTTTACAACTGAAGTGTAGAGTCATTAAAAATTTTCAAAACAAATTCTGGCCCAATGAAGGCATCAGAAATGAAGAGTATTACAATACTGAAGAAAACAGAAGTCAGTCTCTAATGGAAAGCTAGCTTTCATTGATCTCAGATTCTCATAAATGTGATTTGCTCTATGTCTGAGTCTTCAAAACAAAATATAATATGGGCACCAAGTATGGGTGCAAAGATGATGGGGTCCAGACCATTCTCTCTGCCAATACTTAAGAATTCCAAGACATTTTATGTCTGCAGGGCACATGAAACTGGCTTTATTAATTTATTTGTAATTCTAATTGAGTGCAATTGTAGTGTTCCTTTATTTTTCTTCCTTTTCTGATACAAATTTCTTTTTATACCTGGATGACATGACTGTATGCTTTAAAAATTAATTTCTCACTAAAACATTTTCAAGCACAGGACTGCAAGGTTGAAAAATCTCTTATGTTCTTAGGATACTCTATAAGGTTTTGTTAAGTTTGATGTTTCTCGGCCTTGGGAAAAGAAAATGTTAATACACCTTTTTAATTTGTTATTTCTAGACATGGACTGAAAGGAAGGGCTCAGGTAATAAGGCACAGCATCTCCTCCAGCTATAGGACAATCCTGACTGTTCAGATGTTGGTCAGCTTGCAACGGCAGCCTACCAGCAATTTTTTCCCATGAGGGAAACGTGTAAATGAAAAGTCTGATAGTGGGAAAAGTCATCCTCCTTCCCAGGTCTGTCACACAAAGGAGTGTGTTCAAAGTTGTCCTATAGATTGAGCAGCTGGCTGCTCGCAACAGTGTGAGCTAGCAAAAATTGCTGTGTCAGGTAAAGCTGCAATCTGAAGCCTACTTAGTTTGGAAAGAATCACACTGAAATCAATTTCGCTTATTCCAACTTTATGTCGTTGAGCTATAAATAACAAGAGCAAGGTACATTTCGTAAAAAGCCATCTGCAAGCGACGGTCAAATAACTTGTTGCGCATTCTATAACTGGAACTCCCAAAGGGCTCTTGGGTGGGTGTGATCTGTATCAGGGCCATAGCATGGGGAAAACAAGGTCCCTCCTATCGTTTTCTCTGCTGAGTCTATGAGTCTCATATTTGAACTAAAATTCCCTGGATTCAATCTTGAATAAATGTAGAACTTTCCAGCCCTCTCCTGACCAAGGGATATGATCAGATGGCATCGTGTCTGATTGCACCAGAAAGGGTAGCTTTGCTCAGATTGATCCTTCTTAATACAACCCTTCTGTCCATGTGGAATCACTCCAGCCTGGCCTCAGAAAAGAGTAGCCCTGCCTCTGGTTGATAATTTCCTGCATTGTAATGTGATCACTGGGAGATGTCCCCCCCCCCAAGTGATCTAACATGAGCTATTTCCCTATCTGATCATACCCTTGGTTTCTCTGGATCCTTTGGAGATTTTGTCAGCCTCTCTAGCACCTGTTCTAGCTATGCTTGAAAACTGCCAAAGGTTGATAGGGCAGGGTTAAAATCACTTATACGACTTACTCAGCTTTTTAGACACTAAACAAGATTTACGGCTGTTGTTAATACCTGCACTCCTCCTTTTACTCAGCTTTTTAGACACTAAACAAGATTATTTTTACCTGAACTCAGCATTAACCAATGTGTATATTTCCACCCTCAGATCACAATCTTCAGCTTATTTTGTATGAACAAGTATATGAAGATGTGCCCTTATGAGTAGAATGACTTCTGGCAGTCTGGCAATTGCAAACTGCTTGCAGCTTAAATCTGTCCAAATTCTTGCAAAGGAGCATGGATCTCACCTCATTTTTCATATGATTCATACAGAGGCTTGAAATTCTTTTTTGTAAGGTAAGAACATATATAGTTATGTGCTCCCAAGTCACTTCCAACTTGAATTAATGATCTCTAAAATATGGTATTCTTAAAAGGCTTGCTAAGGACTTGTAAACTAAAGGCTGTAGCTTCTCTTATTGAATCAATCCATCTCTTCTTAGGTCTTCGCCTTTTCCAAAGTTCTCGCATTTTCCTAGCATTACTGTCTTCTTCCAGTAAGTCTTGTCTTCTTAGGACAAGTCTGGTTAATGATAGTTATATTAAATTTGGTTTCATCTGATATGTTCCGCATCTATATTGAACAGATACGAGAGATCAAATGCACCCTTGTCTGATGACTTTGGCAATGAGAAACCACTCTGTTTTTCCATGTTATGTCTTTTGTGCAGAGTATAGGCCATGCTTCAGGGCAATCAAATATTGTGGCCCACACATTCCTTTTAGAACTTCCCATAGTTTTACAGGATCCACACAGTGCAAGGCTTTGCTGTTATCTATAAAACACAGACTGAATTCCTTTCAGAAATCTTTGGTATGATCCAATAACTGACTCAATTTCTATCATCTTTTGATTAATTTGTTGTTAGCCATTTTAACAGTTTAATCAGTTACCCACTGAGGCTTCTCTCTCTCTTTGACTACAGTGGGGTCTCGACTTACGAACTTAATCCGTATTGGAAGGCAGTTCTCAGGTCGAAAAGTTCTTAAGTCGAATCTGCATTTCCCATAGGAATGCACTGAAAACCATTTAATCCGTATCTGTTCTTTTCGTCCATAGAAACTAATGGGAAGCTGCTATTCCGCCTTCTGCCACCAGAGGGGGATATTTTTTCTTTTTTTCTTTTAACCTAAGATGACTTAGCTTTTAAAAAAAGGGGAAAAAAGAGTTCGTAACTCGAATCTAAGTTCGTAAGTCGAGTCCATATAGTCCTATGAGAGCGGTTCGTAAGTCGAAACGTTCGTATGTCGAGCCGTTCGTAAGTCGAGACCCCGCTGTACTTACACTGAGGCTTTTCTTTTCTTTTTGCGCTCCTCCCTTGTAATATCTCTGGTTTCCATCCAATTCTGCTGGTTCATGGGCTAATAAGTTTAGTAATGTAAACCTGTTCTTGAAAATCCTTTACAAATGTGATTATAAGTAAGTCAATTCAGTGAGTAATTCCTGAGTTTCATTTCTGACTCCTTGGGCAAATTCTTCAACAATGTTTAATTATGTCATTTCCTACTTTTGCATTCTAGTCACCTTTGATTGTCAGCACATTTCTATGTTGGTGTGTTCTCAACTTCCTCCTGGAAACTGGCATAAAAGCCTTCAATTTCTTTTTTTTCAGCATCTGTAAGTCAATTCAGTGAGTAATTCCTGAGTTTCATTTCTGACTCCTTGGGCAAATTCTTCAACAATGTTTAATTATGTCATTTCCTACTTTTGCATTCTAGTCACCTTTGATTGTCAGCACATTTCTATGTTGGTGTGTTCTCAACTTCCTCCTGGAAACTTCCACCTGGAGCAGGAACTGGCAAGCCACTCCAGTATCTACGCCAAGAAAACTCCATGGACAGAAACAAAAGGCTAAAATATATGATGCTGGAAGATGAACCCCTCAGGTCGGAAGGCATCCAACATGCTACTGAGGAAGAGCAGAGGACAAGTACAAGTAGCTCCAGAGCTAATGAAGTGGTTGGGCCAAGGCCAAAAGGACACTCAGCTGCGGACGCGCCTGGAAGTGAAAGGAAAGTCCGGTGCTGCAAAGAAAAATACTGCCTACGAACCTGGAATGTAAGATCTATGAACCTTGGTAAGCTGGATGTGGTCAAACAGGAGATGGCAAGAATAAACATTGACATCCTGG